CTAAACATGATATCTTGCATGATTGACAGCTTAACTACTTTATCACATGGTGAAAACACGGATATCAACAAAGTAGGACCACTATACAGTGCCATGGAAGTAACTGAGTTCCAATTCACATGGTGCACGCCCACACGTCCGTCATCTAGCATGTGCGTCACCTTAATACCAATCATATAACACTTATTACGGGGTTTCATACCCTCAGCACTTAGTTTAGAAGAGTTACTTACTTCGAACAAGTCAATACCAATGCTGAGCAAGCCAGGTGATGCTCCAAAGATGCCATCACGCACGTAGCGACCTCTGAACTACTCAAAACTAGCCAAAAGTAATTCAAATACATCAAATAAAGCCCAAGAAAACAATTCCAAATGATGAAGATTGAATCCTTAATCAAAACCCAAAACCGGCAAAAAATCACGCCCGGCCCCGCGCCTCGGAACCCAACAAAACTCACAATATCTGACAACTCATTCAATTACGAGTCCAACCATACTAGTTTCACTCAAATACGACTCCAATTTGATGTTCAAAACTCAGAAGTTCATAGTTTGAAACATTAGGCTAAAACCCCCAATTTCTCTTTAAAATTCATCAACCAATAGCCAAAAATGAAGTTAGATTCATGGAATAAGATCAAAACCAAGTGTAGAGCATTTACTCCAATCCTTGTGATGAAAATTGTTCCAAAAGTCGCCTCAATCTGAGCTTGGAAATGTTAAAATGAAGACAAAATCGTGAACCCTTGTATTTATCATTCTGCCCAGCACTTTTGCACTTGCGGCACATTAGCCACTTCTGCGGCATCGCGTTTACGACCAAAAACATGCTTCTGCGGAGATGCACTGGGGGTCTGCCTTCGTACCTGCGGTAGAAACTACGCTGTTGCCCACATGCAGGTGCGAGTCCAAATTGCGCTCCTGCGCTGATGTTCGCTTCTGCGCCCTTTCACACCGCATTTGCGCCTTCGCAAATGTGAATGAACCTCCGCTTATGCGGATTGCTGCTCCCAGCAACACCTCCGCTACTGCGACTCCTTTGTCTCTTCTGCAAACATCGCACCTGCGCAAACCAACCGCAGGTGCGGTCACACCAGAACCAGCAACAACCACCAATAACAACATGAAGAAAAATGATCCGAAATCAATCCGAAACACGCCCGAGCCCCTCGGGACCCCATCCGAACATACCAATAAGTTTCATAACGAAATACGGACCTACTCGAGGCCTCAAAACACACATAACAATATCAAAACGAAAAGTAACACCTCAAATAGAAATCTATGAGTTTTGAACTTTCAAATTTAACAACTCGTGCCGAAACATAGAAAATCAACCTGGAATGACTTCAAATTTTGCATTCAAGTCATAAATGACCTAACGGGGCTATTTCAATTTCTAGAATCGGATTTCGACCCCGATATCAAAAGTTAACCCTCTGCTCAAACTTCTCAAAAATTTAACTTTCACCATTTCAAGCCTAATTCCACTACAGACCTCTAAATAATTTTCCAGATACGCTCCTAAGTCCAAAATCACCATACAGAGCTATTTGAATCATCAGAATTCAAATCTGTGGTTTTACATATAAGTCAACATCCGGTCAACGTTTTCCAACTTAAGTTTTCAATTATGAGACTAAGTGTCTCATTTCACTCCGAAATCCTTCCGGACCCGAACCAATTACCCTGGCAAGTCATACCACAACTGTAAAGCATAAAGTGAGCAGTAAATAGGAAAATGGAACTATAATACTCGAAACGACCGACCGGGTCGTTACATTAACAGCACACCAAGTAGATACATGACATATGATCTGGTATAAATATTTAGTACAAATTAGTATTTATCTAAGGAAAATAATAGAAGTGCATGGTTGAGTCTCGAGAATGTTGAAAGAAGTGTATTGTATTGATAGGGATTTTCTTTTTCTATGGTCTGAGCCTCGGTAATGACGTAGAGTGAAATTGAAAAATCGCATTAAACCAAAAAGTCAAACTAAACTGATTAAAAAATTTGATTAGGTTTGATTTGATTTGATTTGATATTGGGTAAAAACTCCGAACTAAACCGATGTTTTAATATATAATTTTTATATAATATGCTTTTACGACTTTATATAGAATTTTCTTTACAAAATATCTAGAAATATTTGGGATACTCTCATGGGATATAATTTAATAGAACTATAAAGTACATCAAATTTATTTTGCTTTAAGTAATGGGCTCTAAAATCACTTTCTTGACAAGTGGTATTGAAATGCGTCAATCTCTTTATTCTTCCATATTTATATGTCAAAATCTATTAAATTCTTATAACTTTTTCAAATTTGAAATGGTATTTGATAATTTAAAATTCAATAGAATATATTATTTAGGTATCAGATTGATTTTCATGTTTAATTATTAGATTCGGTTAACCCTGAAAGTGTACATCAACGAAATATTATTGTTGGACGACTAAGAAAATAGCTATCATGTATTAGTAAAACATTTATCCCATAACAATATTTTAATAGATTATATGTTTGTCAGTTTTTTTAAATTTTAATAAATATATATTCACTTATAAAAAAATTATCTACATCTTTAATAAAGTAAGATTAAAATAATATTCATGTAATAAAAAAATTCGAAAACCCCCGAAAAATACGACATATTCGAACCAATACAAACCGATATAGTTGGTTTGATTTGATAAAAATTAACCAACCCGGTCCATGCACGTGGGAGTTTTCTTTTTGGTTCTTTTCTCACTACTACTCAAGATAAGGACATAGGGATTGCCATCCAATGTCATGCCTTTTGCACCACTGCCTATCCTACTAATAATTGAAACAAAAAATACAACGACTTAAACGTCCTAGTAAAAATTCCTCGTTTTAGGTCAACTAACTACATGGTATAGGTATGAAAATTTTCAACTGATTACCTTCTCACACCATTCTCATCTAAATATCTTCGAGTATACACTTCATGTAAAATATATCCACATAATTCGGTCATTAAGATAAGATTATATGTAACTAGCTACCTTCAGTAAACATAGATTTATAACATATAAAATATGATAAGTAACCTATTGCAACCAGCTAAATTGCAATGCTAGTGTAATGAATGTGTTTTTTCCAAATTAAACTTTATAAAAATTAGATTCAATAATAGTTGCATCAGTAAGTGCAACATAAACACCACTAAACTTGGTTGACAGGGTATGACAAGCTTAATGGTGGATTCTGCCACAAATATGCTAGACCGGTGGGCAGCCCTCATCGACGCAGGAAAGCGAGAAATCGAAATAGAAGTCGAGAAGGAAATCACAAGCACAGCGGGGAAAAGTGTTTGATAAATTAAGAACACTGCAAATCGCTCTTTTCAAGTCCATACGTTATGTTGGAGTACCATATGGGAACCTGATATATCATAAAGAGACGTTGAAAGCCAAGAATCTCGGGAAAGAGATTGACACTCTCCTTGTGTCGATCATTGAAGCTCGAAAAAAGATGGACAAAAATCAATATTCTCAACATGACCTTCTAAGTCTATTAATGCTAGGTGGGAATTCGAATAATGGCCGGATAGGAAAGACATTAAGTACAAGGGAACTGATGGATGAGTGTAAGACGTTTTTCATTGGAGGTCATGAGACCTCTGCCTTAGCACTCACCTGGACTATGTTGCTTCTGGCCTTGCATCCTGAATGGAAAACTCAGCTCAGAGAGGAAATCAAACAAGTGTTTGGAGTAGGTGAAATTGATGTTACAAGGCTTAATGCTCTCAGAAAGGTAATCCCATTGTACTCTTTTTTCTCTTTTTGAAACTCAAACGAGCAGCTTTAATAAATTAAATAAGACACCAACTTTACAATAAAACTGGGAGCATGGGGCTAGGTATGTTTAAAAACTTTCATCTTTAAGAGTATTCCTGGTATTTGTCAAAAGTTTTCTTTATTTTATACGTCGTACCAAGTCAAACACATTATCATAAATGAATGGGATAAAGACGTTCATATATAGTTTACTTGTTTCAATTATGTATACCTACACTACACAGTGGGGGAGCCACATTGAAGCAAGGGGTGTCGAGCGATACCCTTCGCCGGAAATTATACTATTTTGCTAGATAAATTTTCTTATTTTATGTACATTTACTATACGTTGACTCCCCTTGACTTTTCGATGTATCTAATTATTTATATTTTGACACCCCTTGATGAAAATTTTGGATCTCATTACATCGGTACTATTGAACAATTGAAATGTTTGTTAATAACGCAGATGCGATGGGTGATGAACGAAGTGCTAAGACTATATTCACCAGCACCAAACGTACAGAGGCAAGCTAAAGATGATATTCAAGTGGGACAATAATGTAGTCATCCCTAAAGGAACAAATATATGGATTGATGTGGTGTCAATGCACCACGACAAGCAGCTTTGGGGTGAAGACGTTAACGAATTCAAACCAGAAAGGTTTAAAGTAGGGGTGGGCATTCGGTATTTCGGTTTGGTATTTAAGAATTTCGGTTCGGTATTTCGGTATTCGGTTTATCAATTGTGTATACCAAATACCGTACCAAAATATTTCGGTACGGTTCGGTATTTCTTATTTTGGTTCGGTACGATTTCGGTTTAATATTCGCTAAATAAGCAACGTTAACGAGTGACAATTCAATTCAGCCAAGAAATGAAGAAATACAATGAAATTGAACAACCATTTCTTCAGAAAGAAGTAAATAGACTTATAGACATGATGCATTTTCTATTTTCTAATGCTGGCATTTGGAGCCAACTCACATTCTTGTGGCTTAATGCCGTAATCCACTATTCAACAAACATGCAACAACAGGGACATGTTGCAAATCAATTGCAGAACAAGCTGCAATTTTGTACGCTTAACAAGCTGCAAATATTTTCTCTGAAAATGGCAGAAAATATATGCAACAGTGGCAACATTAACAAAATAAAAGTAGCAGAATTAACACTTAACAATAGCAGCACTAACAGTAGCAGAATTAACAGTAACAGTAGGCGAGTAGCATAATTAACAGTAGCAGCAGACTCTAACAAGCAGCAGAATTAAACACACACAGTGCAACAAAAATAACAAAAACAGAGAGAGCATCCCTCAATTCAAGTTCACACTAATAGTCTCGAATCAACTTAGTCTTAATTCTTAAATACAGATTTCAGGAAGACGCTCAAGACAATGCCTAATATGCTTGCTTAAACAATATGTGCCATCCCTCTTTGGATGAACATTATAGACTCGACCACAATGCTTGCACTCTACTTTGCGAACTTCTCCGTTATCTTCTTTCACCTCAAAGTGTTCCCAAATATGAGAGCGTACTTTAGGAGTACGAGGCATGATTGCATTTGAACCTAAAAAAAATATAAATCATAAGATAGAATATTATTTTTTGATGATAATAAAATAAAACTACAAAAGTATATCACCAAACAAATAGAGTATTAAACTTACCACTCATGTTGCAAGTTGCAACTATGCATCAAAGTTCAAACTTCAAACAATGCTAGTAGTGCTTCCATTATTTTCCATATCTAAAGATAATTCGACCAAATATGTCATATAAATAAGCAAGTATGATATATTATTTTGAACTAAAATACACACAAAATATTAAAGCTTACCAAGCTCTAGTTCCTCAAGATACTTCAAGTCTTCTTCAACACTAATAGGATTCTTCTCTTCTCTAAGCCAATCTTGAACACAAACAAGAGCTTGCACACATTTAGGAGTCAATGAATTTAAGAATTTATTTGTATGGATTCAACCATAGAAAGACCACTGTATTTGGAATTTTGGATGGATCAATGGATTTGGATCATTTAACAGAGGCATTAGGTCTACACAATTAACAGAATAACAGAGGCAGCAGCAAGCCAAAATGTTATGCAATTACAAATAAGCAGCAAAATAAGAAGGTCTACATTTCTAAACGGAATAATCAGCATCAAGCCAAAACATGGGGAAGAGGAAAACTATCAAACACCATAATCCACACCCAAAAAGGAGGACTAATAGAAAATCATATTAATTGTTGGCAATTTACTCTCTAGTTGCAGTTCATTTTATAGAAAGGATTCCCCATTAGCTTTATTTTGCACAAATAGAAATGCTTTTCTGTTTTTCTCTGTAATTTTGTACTATAAGACATAATACAGTAACAATTGTATTTATAAAATTTAAGATAGAAAACAAAATTGAACTATATGAAATCTCTATTTAGTATCTTCGAATTAAATTTCTGCACTGAATCAATATTATCATCAGCTGGTTTTCGCTTTCCACAAACAATTACTTTATTAGAAATAGAAACAGATCGCTAAAATCTTCTGAATGCAATTGATGATATTTTGCATTTACCCAATTGCTTTTCAAGGTAATCAAAGAAATATTGGTAGAGAGCTGAAAAAAATTCATTCGTTAACAATTCCAGCACAAAAGAATATGCATGTTCTTCATAAAACAAAAAAACTACAAAAAACAAAGGATTAAAAAGTATAAATCTTTTTTTTGTAAAGACAGTGAGACACGTACCCAATAATCTAATAAAACCTTAAAAAGGAGAAAGCTTTCAAGTAAATTATGGAAGAAACTAGAAATATACATTTGATTCTTTGAAGTCACAACAACCGATCTCTTTGAAGTCACAGCAGCCGGTCTTCGTTTGCCCGTTTCTGAAACTATCGCCCTAATTGAAAGCCTGAAGCTGAAACTATCGCCGAGACACCGACGCCGTTTGCCCTAATTGACTTTCTAAATTCTAATTCCCTAATGAGTAATGCCTAATCCCTAATTGAATGAAAGACAAATACTAGAGAGTGGGCTTGGGCTGGGGCGTTGGAGTGGGCAGTGGGCTGGGCATTAGATTAGAAAGTCTTTAAAAAGTGTTGGGCTGGGCAGTATAGCTATAGGTCCAACTTAAAAAAACTTTAAAAATTCGGTATTTCGGTATACCGAAATTTTAAGATCCTAATACCGAAGACCGTACCGTAATGCCGAAATACCGAAAATGTAATTCTGAATTAGACCGAAATACCGAAAAAATTGAAATCGAAAATACCGAATTAATTCGGTCTGGTTCGGAATTCAGTTTTTCGGATTTTATGCCCACCCCTAGTTTAAAGATGACGTTTATGGTGGATGCAAACACAAAATGTGATTCTTGCCTTTTGGCTTTGGAGGTAGAATGTGCATTGGCAAGAATTTGTCTCTCATGGAGTACAAGATTGTGTTATCCTTAATCTTGACTAAGTTCTCTTTCTCCATCTCCCCAAAATATAAGCACTGCCCTTCTATCCTGCTTACTCTTAGGCCCACACAAGGATTGCCTCTTATAATCCGACCCCTTTGAATTACTCACTACAATAATTACTCTTTTCATGATTAATTACCATAAAATTCTCCTACTAATAGCCAGCTACACTTTAAGAGGTTGAGATGTTTATCTCTCAATTTTCTTTATGTTCTTATTGTTACTTTCTTTAGTCGTGCTTAAATGGAGAAGTGAGGATTCATATAGCCAATCCCAACTTGTTCGGGATTGAGGCATATTTGTTGTGTACTTCAAATCAAAATCAAATAAATGCATCACCAAAATAAAAGCGTTTTTGAAGAAAGATTGTTTGGAGAAGATAATGCAAATGGAGTCTGAGGACGACATTTCATGGGTGAATTCCAACGATATGCAAATAGAATGAACAGCCTGTAAGGATTGATGATTGACCAGCTTCATCAAAAATGAGAACCACTTTATTTTAATAGTTTCATTCTCTTTCAACTCTTGGACCACATCGTGCCTTGCATCTATATCTGCTTTACTTTTCTGAATTTCAGTTGAGGTAGAAAGTAAATTCTCCTCAACTGAATCCTGTAATTGCTATATTTCATTTCCGTCCTTGGGTGCTCCACTTGTCGTCGCCACCATGTTGTTTTCTCGTGCCGCCTGCTGATCTCTCCTGATCTGACAAATTACTCACTGTGATGAAAATTTGATTATCTGATGCAATGTTGACGGTACTGCATCCATGTCATGAATCAACGGCCTTCCTAAAATTATATTATAAGCCATGTGTATATCCACAACTTGAAACTTGGTATCTTTGACAGTACCCTCTGCGAATGTTGCTAACATAGTTTTTCCTTTTGTTACAACACTTAATTATTAAACTGAGACAAAGATCTAGCCTTGGATCAGTCGCTTGTATTTCATTCACTACTCTTAACAGTATGCTTTCACAGAACTACCTGGATCAATCAAAACTCGTTTGACATTAGTATCATAAATAAGTAAAGATATTACTAGAGCATCGTTATGAGGGATGATCAAACCGTCCGCATCTTCTTCGTCAAAGGTTATGTTGTTTCCTTCCAGAACTTGACGAACCCGCTTCCTGTGGGTAACTGAGATCTTGATTGTCCTTTTCCCTGCTGTGTACATTACTCCGTTGACCTCTTCAGCCCCAGTTATTAAATTCACCGTCCTCTTTGGCGATGGGAGTTTTGGTGGTTCTTGCCTATTTTTCATAAAAAACGATTTTCCTTTTTCAATAAATAGGTCAGTGAGATAACCTTTTTTCAGTAAATATTCAACCTCTCCTTGTAAGAGCCTGGAATCTGCTATTATGTGACCATGATCATTGTGGAATTTACACCAGAATTCCTGGCTTCGTTTCCTGGGATTCGTCCTCATCTCTTTCGGCCATCGTACCTTATCTCTCATGCCTCTTAGCATAACTACCAACTCGGACGTACTGATGTTGAAATTATAATCTCATATTCTTGATGAGGAATTTTGATCATTGTTTCTTGTTGTATCCCGTTCCTTACTGAATCGGGAAGAAGAACTCGCCTCCTTCTGTCCTGATCTTTGATTAAACTGTGCATGTTCTTGTTTTTGCCTAGGATCTCATCCTGCGGGTCCCATGTACGGTTCATACCTATTTTTTCCAGATCTCCTTTTTGTTTCTGAATGTCTAGGTCTGAACCTTTCCTCCACCTTCGGATGAGAAGTCATATCTTCTTTTATCGCAACATTGTGTTGTGTATGTTATAAATATCATTTCAAGTAGATGCAGGAAATTCCCGCATGCTTTCTTTTAACCTTCTCGTGGCTTTTGTGCTTTTTTCATTCAAATTGCTTGCAAATGCCATAGCCTCCCAATTATCAGGTACATGCGGTAAAATCATTCTCTCCCGTTGGAATCAATCTACAAATTCTCTAAGCAATTTCGTACTCTCTTGTTTTACCTTGAAGATATCTTCTATTTTCTTCTCTACTTTTTGAGCCCCCGAATGCGATTTTATAAATAAATCAGCAAGCTCAGCAAAAGAATTAATCGAATTTTCAGGTAAGAAAGAATACCAAATTAATGTTCCCTTTGTGAGGGTTTTGCCAAATTTCTTCACCAATACTGATTCGATTTCCTACTTGGTTAAATAGTTTCCCTTAGCTCCTATAGTAAATGCGGTAACATGATCTCACAGGTCAATAGTCCCATCATATTTAGGAATATCGGGCATCTTAAACTTTTTATATATTGGTAATGGTGTTGCACTTGACTTCCAAGGTTGTTGTGAATACTTATCAGTATCCACTCTTTTAATCATGGGCGGTACATCTAATAACTGCTATATCCGCTCGTTTTGTTCCTTGAGCGGTTTCTGCAAGGTTAGTACGAATAGTCAACCTGTTTTCTTCTTCTCTGGCCACCTCTACGACCTCTTCCCCTTCTTTTGTCTATTGCTTTTCTGTTTTAGGTGGATTATTAATTAGACATCTCCATTTCATGGGTTGGGGAGTTTTAAATGTGATTTGGCGACGAGGAGTAATATATATATNTTAAAGGATACATGATTTAATTTAATACGAATGATATAAGAACAATAAATAATTAAATTAAAGAAAGATAAAATGGTCAAACCAAACGTAATGGAACAATTAAGCCTGGCTGTGAATTGAACATTGAGACCGGCTCCGATCGAGCCCTCAATACAGGCTCAGTTGTAACTAAAGAAAAGGGAAATCGAAGTACACTTTTGAACAACAACTAGAAGAGAAAATGGACTTTATTGCTTTGATATGTGTATCAACAATGGTCTAAAATATAAAAGTTCTTCCCTTTATATAGTAGGGGAATTTCAATCCTAATACAAGTCCAAATAAGGCAAAAATCTTCTATTTTCGGTAAATGTCGATCTGCCGTTGTTAACGGATGGTATTTACACTGTAATATCCGGTTGAGGGCAAATATTATGGCTCCCTGCTCATTGTGCTCCACCGTTTCTCTCTTTCCTTAGTCCCGGAACTTCAATATGCCATGATCCGATGTTCAGTCATACCCGATCACGGGTGCACAGTCCGTCCTCTCCGATTTCAGAAACGAGGAAACCTTTAGCCTTACTCGAGACTGAGTCAGATCATGCTTCCCTCTTGTTTCTTTATTGGAAAGTTGGGGGTAACATTATCCCCGATTTTACCCGTACACAGATAGTCCTCACACTTTTCGGAGAGCAAATTTATTGAAGCGACGAGAAGAGATTAATTGACCCTGGCTCCTCTTTTCGTAGGCTGCAATCGGGTCGATGGGTCAGGGAAACGTTCCATCACTCGCGTAGTTCTGACTTCGGACACATGTCATTTGGCACTTGACCGTCCTCAAATGCGAAACGTCGTGCATTAATTACCTCTTGCCTATAAAAGCTTCAGTTCATTTTTCACTTTTTTACTTTCCGATTCCAGAACTTTTTAATTTGTAACGACCCGACCAGTCGTTTTGAGTCCTAGCATGTCATTCGGCAGTTTGAGGCCTTGAGCAGCTTCACTTCAGGTGTTATGACTTGTGCGTATGGTCGGAATTGAATTTCGGGAAGTTCAGAGTTGATTTGGAGAGAAAATTCTAATTTTGAAAGCCTTAAGTTGGAGGAATTGACTAAGGTGTGAATTTTGAGTAAAAGATCTCGGAATTGGAATTTGAAGGTTCCAGCAGGTTTGTATGATGATTTCGAACTTGGGCGTATTTTCGGATTGGGTTTTGGATACCCCGAGAGCGTTTCGGCACCTATTGCGGAAGTTAGCATTTTGAAAGAATTTCATTAATTTGAGTTGAAGTGTATTTCAATGTTATCAATGCCCGTTTGGGATTCTGAGTCTGGGAATAGCTTCGTATGGTGATTCCAGTTTTGGGAGCACGTCCGGAAGTGGATTTGGAGGATCGTAGGTCATTTTGGGGTCATTTGGCGAAAGTTGAAAATTTAGATAATTTTGAGAAGTTTGACCGGAAGTGGACTTTTGATATCGGGGTCGAATTCATATTTCGGAAGTTGGAGTAGGCCCGTAATGTCAATTATGACTTGTGTGCAAAATTTGAGGTCAATCGGACTTGATTTGATAGGTTTCGGCATCGAATGTAGAAGTTGAAATTCTAAAGTTCATAAAGCTTGAATTGGAGTGTGATTCCTAATTTCGTTGTTGTTTGGCGTGATTTGAGGCCTCTACTAAGTTCGTATCGGGTTATAGGACTTGTTGGTATGTTTGATTGAGGTCCTTAGGGCCTCGGGGTGATTTCGGGTGGTTAACGGACCGAACTTGGAATTTTGAAGAAGAATTGAGGCAGTTGATATCTGGTGTAACCGCACCTGCGAGGTCTTGGCCGCATGTGCAGAGCCGCAGAAGCGGCCTATGAGTCGCAGAAGCGGAGCTGGGCAGTCAGGGGAAGGACCGAAAGTGCAGAGTGTTGGTCGCATCTGCGCCAGCGCAGAAGCAAAGAGGATGAGCGCAGAAGCGGAAGAAGGCGCAGAAGCGAGAGGGGGCCTCGCACCTGCGAAGCCGCAGGTGCGGCTATTGTTCTGCAGGTGCATAATTGTCGCTGGGCAGAAGGGTTTTTTTATAAAAACGGGACTTGACCTATTTTTCTCCTATTTTCATTTGGTTTGGACGATTTTGGAGATTTTCAAGGGGAGATTTTCATCAAGCAACTTAAGGTAAGTGATCTCCAATTATTATAAGTTAAATATATGATTTGTATAAGAATTTAAATATGGAAATTAGTAGAAATTGTGGGGGGTTAGTAGAAATCCTAGAATTTGGTTTGGATTTTTGACCACGAATTTTGGCATGGAATTGGGAATAAATTATATATTTGAGTTCATAAGGTTATGGGTAATGATTATCTTCGAATATTTTTGAAATCCGGGCACGTGGGCCCGAGGGTGATTTTATCGACTTTTTGAGCAGAGTTGGGAATTGTTGTAAATTGAATTATTATGAGTATTAGAGAATATTTTCATTGGTTTGCACATTGTTTGTCTAGGTGGCTAGAGTGGCGTTGGAGCCGGTTATGAAACTTCGGAGTGAGGTAAGTCTCCTTTCTAATATTTTAAGAGGGAATTAACCCCATAGGTGAATTAAATAAATGTTTGTACCTAATTGTGGGGGCTACGTACGTATGAGGTGACGAGAGTCCGTAAGTTGCTACTATTATGCTATAGTACGGGTAGTTTAGGACCCGTATCATGCTATACTTGGAATGTTTGTGCCCTTACTTGCTAATATAATCACTTAGTCATTATAGAAATTGATAAAAGAATTATATAAGGTTAAATTCACTTACTTGAAGGTTTGTATGAGAAACTTGTATTTTCTTGAAAATAATTGTTATTTGTGGATCGGGCCGAGTGCCTCGATAGTAAATAAATGCATCTATGGTTCGTGCCATTTGACCCTCTAGCAGTGCACAATTTAAATATTTGATGGATCGGGCCGTACGACATCGGCATGATTTGCGCATGATTTAATTGATTGATTTGGAAATTGTAATAACTGATATTGCCTTCTCGTCCTGAGATAAATTGTTAAATAATGGGAAATCAATTTGGAGAGTTCTTAATTATAAAATAACTGTTTTGCTTACTTCAGAATAATAGGCTTGCAACCGTATTATTTAATCCATGTCTAATTTAATGATATTATTCTATTTACTTATAGCCCATTGTAAGTGTGGAAGTCGACTCCTCATCACTACTTCTTCGAGGTTAGGCGGGATACTTACTGGGTACGCGTTGATTTACGTATTCATACTACACTTGCTGCACGTTTTGTGTAGGCACATATATGACTAATGGCCTTGTGGGCGCAGAGGCGCGGTTATTACGGGGACTTAGGTGAGCTGCATCTTATATACTATCCGCAGCCAGCAGAGTCTCCTTCAGAGTATTGTATTTTCTTTCCTGTCCAAATTTGTATTCCGAACAGTTATTGTATTTTATTTTAAATTCCTAGAAAATGCTCATGCACTTGTGACACCGGATTCTTGGATTATTATGGGATGTTCAGTTTTGAAATTGGAAAACATTGTATCTATTATGTAAATTCATCTTTTACTAGTTAAATTGAATTAAATTTACGATTTCAAAAATATTAAAATGAGAATTTAATTAACTATTTAGTGTTGGCTTGCCTGACAGTGGTGTCCGGCGCCATCACGACCTTTAATAGATTTTGGGTGGTGACAACATGGTATCAGCGCACTAGGTTTACTTAGGTCTCACGAGTCATGAGCGAGTCTAGTAGAGTATTGCGGATTGATACAGATACGTCTGTACTTAACTTCGAGAGGCTACAGGGCTGTTAGGAGCACTTCCCTTCTTGATTCCTCATCGTGGGATTTGATTCCTTTGAGGCTTATGCCTTTA